TATTATGGTATATTATGGTTATAGATACTCTGGTTTGGTAAATAATAGAGCTACCTGATCTATTAAACCTAGATGCCTGCAATATGGCAACAAAGAGGTACAGAAAACCCTAAATCCTGGCTGACTGCCATTGGTGGTCCAATTTTTGGCAACACAGTTGAAGCTGCTCTAATAAATCATGGTATAACAAGCTAGTTTGGCCTAGTGGCTAAGGCACCAGGCTAGAAAGCCGGAGACCATGAGTTTTAGTTTCTCCTTAGCCTGAAATCCAGCTGGATGACCTTAGGCCAGTCATTCTCTCTCTCTCTGCCCAACTCATCTGCCAGGATTGGTGTGTGTGTGTGTGTGTGTGTGTGTGTGTGTGTGTGTGTGTGTGTGTGTGAAATAGGAGGAAGAAGGTGTGTTGAATATGTTTATTGCCTTGAGTTATTTGTATAAACAATAACGGTGGGATACAAATAAATAAAAATAAATAAATGATATATATATATAACCTTGGCTACTATAGCATATTCAAAAAGCCTGTTGAAATTAACTATAGTTTAGTGTGATACATGAAACTCAGTTCATATGCAGCTTTTATCACTTAAGCTTAAGTTTTGATAAGAAACAAATTAACTACATGCATATAAGTAAATAATGAGATTTCACACAATTTATAGGGTCACTAACCATCAGATGGCAGTATAAAATCTGTTGTCATTAGCTGGACCGCCAAAGTACTGGTAGAACAATACCGTAATCCCTCATTTTACAGAATGTACAGGGTACATTAACCACTGGAATAATTTCAAATTGCCCAGATTGCAAATATGTGTAAAGGGAGAGTAAGTAAAGATGCAAAAGGAGAAAATAAATAATGAAGATAAGCAGATTTGGGCTATAAAAAACTAGATAATCTGATATCCCTAAATTTAATGGATGAATGGGAGACAGAGTAGCTGTTTAAGCAGAATATCCATTAAATCCAAATAGGATTTAATGCACATACAAAATGGCCCATGGGGTGTGCCAAAGCAAACAACATAGAGCAGATTTGGCCTATTGTGTTCAAAGTCCACTAAACAGAAGCCCATAAAACTGAATGTTTCGTGTAATGATATAACTTTATGAGAACCAGATAAAATGTCAACAGAGAGCAAATGCTGGTTCTTTAAATATTTGCAGTAGAAGTGGTTTCTGGGGAGTGAGAGAAATGTGTGTATGTCTCTCTGTGTGTGAGTGAGAAGACCCTTTTCCCAATCACTGTTGGATTTTGCTCCCTCTGGCCTTTCCTAACTGCAGAAAGGATCTATTCAAGTGGCAGGCCCTGGAAAGCATGGGGGTTTGGCCAGAGCGCAGGACCTTTTGTTAGGGAAAAGGGAGAGGCTGTGTGCAAATGGAATGAGTGAATGTGAGAATTGGATTTGGGCAACCAGCTGGTAAGGCCTTGTAAGCAAAGCCCATATGTAGGAGGGGCTCATATTAGTGCACAAAGCACAGGTCCTCCCAGACTCCTCCTGAGTCTGAAAACTGATGGCAATGAGGTAGAAGAAGGCCGCGTACCTGTCTGAGCCGAGGGTGGCAGGTCCTCCCCAGAGCCCTTTTTGGTCTGCAAAGTGACGGCAGGGAGTTTCATGTAGGAGGGGCCCTTACTTCGTTAGGGAACCAAAGTACTCCTGGGCAATTTTTTTGTGTGCCCAAAACTGACAGGCAGGGCGCCAGGGATAGTATCGCTAAGAGTGGCTGGGAAGTGCCGCTTGGACCCAACTAAGCCGATTGAGCCCCACATCGTAAGGGGAACATGGGTAGCTGTAGTTTGAGGGTCAGAATTAGGACACCTATTGGAGATTTGCTTGAGGCGTGGGACGAGAGGCGAGTGCCCATCCTGGATGGCATGAAAAAGAAACGAGCACAGAAAATTTGTAAAGGTTGGGCTTTGCTCAGGGCTTTGCTCGGAAACCAATTTGGCTAAATAAAGATACTTAAAAGGAAATTAAAATATAGAAATAGTGATTTTCTTTCTCTCTCTTTCTCTCTCTCACTTTCTATGCAACCACGTGGTATGTTTAAGATTTGTGCCTTCCCTAATTTGAGTTAACTGAGATTTGTGGTGGGAACGACCAGGATATGTAAAACTAAGACTTCTGTTTCCCTTTTCTGTTCTCTTTTCCTTGTCTTTGTGTGTATATGTGTGTCAAAATCTTTATGTGTAAGGTAAATGTGACTGTTAAGTGTCTCTAAGCCAAACAGAAAAGAATTTTAAAATTCTGCTAGAAATTCTGCTTAAAATAAGCCACCAAAAGGAAAATAACCTCACTCTGTCTGGCCAACAAACAGAGTGAAGAAAAATGTTTTCTTCTTCTTCATTCTCTCTCTCTTTGTACTCTTAAGAACAGCCCAAAGTTACTAGGAGGGAATGTTTTAAGTTTATTTGCTGGAAAAGTTTCACTCTTGCATTTACTGAATTTGTTGTAAATGGATTTTACCTGTCTATCCTTTTCCTGAAACATGCCCAGCATTTTTCAAGTTGCAACTCTTTAGTCCTCTTTAATATGTTACAAATGTTTATTTCAGAAATGAGACCTTTCAATTTGTTGTTCTCTTACCAGAATCCAGCCTCTCTTTTGCCTCATCTGTGTTGTTCCCATCTTATCTGTTTCTTTAACCACTGCAGTATTAATGCCTTTTCAAACTCTGTCTGCAAGTTACCCCCCTCCCCAATTCTACTTCTCCTTTTCTTATCCTCTGTTCTACATGCCTTTGTCTGTCTCTCCTGGGAGAGTCCACCCAGAAAGGGGGGAGGAGATTTTGCTCTCATGTCTTTTAGCCCTAGACAGATGACCCCCCCAATCCTTTGGAAGCAGAGCACACTGACCCAGATGTTAGAATGAGTTCTTTTTGTAGTGATATGAATGAAGGGCTATATATTGATATTCATATTTTTGTAGATGTGCAAATTGAGAAACATCACTATAGCATCTTGCCATAGTAAATAGAATGGTTGCCATGTGCTCCTTCAGACCACTCTCCAGGTGCTAACTTTGGATGGGCACCATTTTTACCACCAGCACACCAGTCCTATAAAGAGAGGATTGTCCTAAAGAATGATATATGGTCGATCTGTTTTAGAGTTTTATTTTTTATTCTTTTAGCTTCCTCAGAGAAGAGATCATCACTTCAGGGTTAAATGCTTCAATGAGTAAGCCAATAAAAGTTACATAAAATAAGATTTTATAAACCATTCTTTTGGTATTGAAGTAGGCTGCAAAGCTCTGAATGATCAACTCTATGCTGCTATTTAGTGCCCTCCAGAATTTTTTTGCAGCCCGTCTATTATAGCCTCACTTTTATGAACTGGCTTCTTAAAGTAGCTATATATTTTCTGAGGCTACTGTGGGGGGAAAGGTAGCTGCTTTAAAGAGGCACCAGGTAGCACAAAGTCTAAATCACTTCTTCCCATCATTTCTAAAGCACTGCTCTACAATGATGGAGTTTGGTGGCATATAATGCCAGGTAATAATTGTAATCTTAATTAGGTTATTCTATACTAGGACTACGTTGAGAGATGTCCACAATGAACATCTGGCTGTTGAGAGGATAGGCAAAAGTTCGGCTCCATGGGTCTTCAATGTTTAGTGCTCCTCTATGCCATTCACCTGGGAAAGAGCTAATGTACAACTCAATTTTATGCAAATTGGGTGCACTTGGCTAAAGGTTATGTGCAGGAAAAGCTTGAGTAAGCCATACTTTAGTTCAGTGGTTCTCAACCTTTTTAATGCCGCGACCCCCAACCGGTCGTAAGTCGAGGACTAAACCGGTCGTAAGTCGAGGACTGCCCAACCGGTCATAAGTCGAGGACTTTCCCTGTCCGGGAGCGCCGCGCATGCATGGTTCTGCCCCCTGCGCCGGCCGAGGCGTAGCTGGCAAGCGGCAGAGACGGAGCAGGCCGACCACCAGCTGGCCCAGCCCAAGGGAGGTAAGGCACCCGCCGGAAAAAGGGGAAAAAATGGCGGACAGCCTTGCTTGGCAACCCCCGTGAAATGGTCGATCGACCCCAAATGGGGTCGTGACCCATAGGTTGAGAACCGCTGCTTTAGTTCTAGCTGGTCACCACCAAGCCCTTATCTTCATTTTTTATCATTAGTTGATGCAAGAGCACAACATTAGAAGGGATATTTTAGGAAGGATTGTTTTACTTATTGTTTGAGGCATATTTAATACTAAGTCACAAGTCATGATATACATTCAAGAAGAAGAAAAAGGCATAACTGGTAGGGTTTATGCAGTATGCTAAGCAAGATCTAAATGCAACCTATTGTTGTTTAGTAAGATCTACATGGTTGCTTTTGGACTTAAGGACTGTATATGGCAGCTTCATCTTTTCAAACAGCAGTTAGTGAGAAAAAGCATTTTTTTTTAAAAAAGGTGCCCCTATTAAAGAGAGTCTATTTTTAAAATTATCCAAGGCTGATTTAAAATGAAATAATATTCCAAAGGAAAAGAGGAATAAGGTCTTGCAATTATCCATCTTTGGAAATGTCTTCCGGATAAACCAATATAGCACTGAATCCAGTGGTGGGATTCAGCCAGTTCGCACCACTTCAGCAGAACCGGTAGCTAATTTTTTGTTGCCCAGGCCCAGAATGGACTTCCGGAAGCAGCATCCACACAGAGAACCGGTTGTTCACATATCTGAATCCCACCACTGACTGAATCATGGAATATATTTGCTGAACATGCTTATCCATAATTAAATCTAGTTTTATAACCCAATGTAAAACACTACAGTAAAATGTGATCAGATACTTTCTGTTTCAGTGAATTACAGAAACACAACTGGATCATGGCAAATTTCCCATGTAGGCTAACTGATGCTTCCTAAGTAAAGGCATTACATTTTTTCTGGCTTGGCTAGTTATGCTATTTAATAAGGAAAGCTAGCAGAAATAAAAACATCCACTGATGACAATTGCAATTATTTCTTTCTGAAATAGACACAGATGAAGATCCACGTCAACATGAAACTTGGAGTCCTTTTGCTTTGTGTCCTTCTGTACCTTACCACTGGAGGTTGTGATCGGGTATACGTTCACCCCTTTTATCTGATTTCCCCTGAAAATACTGCTGCCAACAGCTGTAAGGAGCTGGAAGAAAGAGAACAGCTGGTGAAGGTGTTTGTTCCCCTCTCCATTGAATCCCATTTCACTTCAATATATGAAGAGAGTCTGAGGAACAAGAGTGAGGAAAAAGAGAAACACTTGGGTGTGACGTTCTTAAAATACCCCATTTATGTGGTTGGGGGCCGTTTTTACAAAGAGCTGAAGAAAATACATGGAGGCAGCAACATTGTTCTTTCTCCTATATTCATATATGAGTCTCTATGGTCCATTTATTTAGGGGCTTCTGGACAAACAGCAACCGATCTGCAGATTTTATTAGGGTTCTACCTGCCATTCAATGACTCAAGGTGTATGTTCAAAATAGATGGACGTAAAATTCTATTTGATCTGAAGATTATCCTGAATGCCCCTTTACGCTCCAGGGACCCAGAGGGACTGTTTTTCTCCAAGTTTTTGTGCCTTTTCTCTGCTCCTGGTACCCATTTATCTGAGCCTTTTGTCCATGAATTGGCCTTTCCAGATGTTAATTTCCATGTTCGAGCTGTGGATTTCACCAACCCCACAGAGGCCACGAAACAAGTAAATGCTTTTGTCGAAAAAAAGAGCAGACACAACACCAAGAGTCTGCTGGCTGACATTGATCAGGAAACCACTCTGCTGATGACAACGTACACTCATTTCAAAGGTACCTGACAGGAAACGGGATTGTCACAGATTAGGACCGATGACAATCCCTAGAGTGGAGCAGATCGAGGAGAAAATTAATGATATGAAACTTGTAAAATAATGCAATATTTATTTTGTCCACATGTTAAAATGGGGATTGAAATAAATATGGGGAGTTGGATCTCCAGACCTTCATCAGGCTGTAACACAGAACATTACTTGAATAACCCGTATTATTAATTCCCTCTGAGCAAAATTAATTTCTGGCAAATTGGATGGGCATTCAGGTACAGTGGGTTACATACCTATCTTTTAACCATTAGAATATATTCCCATTCCTCACTGAGAGACCCCGGGGTGGGGAAGAGAGTTGCTTGGAAAGTCTATACCAGGGATAGGCAACCTTGGCTCTTTTATGACTCATGGACTTCAACTCAGGAATTCTGGGAGTTGAAGTCCACAAATCATAAAAGAGCCAAGGTTGCCTACCCCTGGTCTATACTGTTTTGTATATTATTCTGAAAAATTGGAGATGATCCCCTTTTTCACAGTTGCAGCTCACAATGACTACTTCATACGCAAAAGCATGATAGCCACTGGTAATTGACAGTAGCAATTGAAGAACAGTAAGGAAGGTATGCATCAATTATGGTTGGTCAGGACCAAAGCACAGAGATTAACGATTTTTTTTTTAAAATTACAGAATAGGAATAAACTGTTTGCTTCCCTGCTTCACCCCACCACTTTGTTTTATTTTTTTTATCTATACAATTTATATGCCATCCAACTCCCCGTTTGAGAATGAGGTTCCCTTGATTCTTTGAGTACTGAAGAGATAATGTTTGTGCTTGCATGTTTGACAAACTGTAACTGTTGGCAAGAATTTAGCCATGCATAATATGTGAACCCATTTGATCTGGTTATCTCTCATAACAGAGTCAGCCAAGTCTGTATTTGTTTTTGTGCCTTTGAGTCAGTGTTGACTGCTGATGACTAGTTTTTGCAGTTTTCTTGGCAAGGTTTTTCAGAAGTGGTTTGCCCTTGCCTGCTTCTTCCTAGGGCTTAGAAAGAGTGACAGGCCCAAAGTCACCTAGCTGTTTTGGGCCCAAGGTGAGACTAGAACTCACAGTCTCCCAGTTTAATAGCCTGATGCCTTCACCACTACACCAGACTGGTTCTCTGTGTCTGCTCATAGGATACAACTGTAGAAAAGGTTACCACTGCAGTGTGAGAAACCATTACAGGAGAAAAGTATAATGGCTCTATTCCTGTAGTATAAGTACCTTCTGGAGATTCTTGAAGCAACTAATGTGGTTTCAAAAGGTACTTGTTGAAGATCAGTTTTCTAAGCAGACGTTCAACTGCTGAAAAAATACAGTGTGTTTTTGAGCCTTTTAAGGTTTCTCAAATGAATCACATAATTAATTTAAGTATTATTTCACTTAAAATTTTGAATTTAGTTTCCCATCTCTTATATTCTTCCAGTCTTTGATTTATTGTTTTATGGTTTTGTGTTATAAGTTCCTTTGAATATACTTATGTAGTAGGAACCTTGAATTCTGTCCAAGAAGAGAAGTGGATAAGGAGGTAAATATACATTGCATGTAAATATTCAGCTAGAACCTTTTTACGCCAAAGAGAGGAAAACAGTTAGTTTCCTCTAACCACATTTTCATTTGTTTTTCAGCTGTAATAAATGGAGCGTCCCCACTCAAAGAACCTCAAGAATTCTGGCTTGATTCCCATACTAAGATCTTTGTTCCTATGATGACAGTATCTGGAATCTTCAAGTATAAAAATCATCCAGGATTTTCTATTGTTAAAATTCCTCTCAACAAGAGTGTATTTCTGCTGCTTTTACAGCCTAACAGTGAGCTACCTAGTGATGAAGATCTGTATTCTTTGATACCTTCTTTGGAATGGCTTGAAGACTTGCAATCAAAGTACGTTCACACATTCATCACAACACTAGAAACTCGTAAAAACTTCCTAACAGTACAAACAGTTTGATGGTAGAACCAATTACCCAAAGAGGTGGTGGATAATTGGTTCTTCTTTACGCTAGACAGTCATGTGTCTCTGGAATGCTTTAATTTATATTCCTGCACAGTGCAGAAAGTGAGATATGATGGCTGAAATGGTAGCTTGCAATTCTATTATTCTAAGAAGATTTTTGTAGAATCAGGGAAAGTCTAGATGTGGTAGTTATGAGATTCTCCAATAGATGAAGCATCTCTAAGTTAAACTTTAGAATTCATCTCACCATTCATACTCAAATATTCATAGCAGTGTTCCAATATCTAAGAGGCTGCCACAAAGAAGAGGGAGTCGACCTATTTTCCAAAGGACAAGAAGCAATGGATGGAAACTAATTAAGCAGAGATCCAACATAGAACTAAGGAGAAATTTCCCAAGAGTTAGAACAATTAATCAGTGGAATGACTTGCCTCCAGAGGTTGTGGGTGCTCCAACATTGGAGATTTTTAAGAAGAGATTGGATAATCATTTGTCCGAAATAAGAATTACCTATTTTTATTTTTATTCTTCCAGAAAATAATTCCAAACCATAACCTTTTTTAGGATTCAAGCCTATGTATTAATAGAGTATCCACTCAAATCTGCCTTTGTAATCTGTCCTTCACTGATTTGGGTATCTACGGTATGTACAAGGCATCACAAAGAATTCATCAGGTGGTGATAGCTTAAGCTTAGTATGGCTACAAAAGAGAAGGGACCTTCAATATACAACAGAACAAAATATTTGTGCACAATACAGAAAGGGAGTTGTGTAGCATTTCTGTGCAGAATTACAAATAGGTATAAAATCAAAATAGATATTTGCCAAATTATTTTAGGGAAAGTGTTGTTTTTGTTCTGGACATCTGGATGAAAAGAGCGACTTTTGGTGGATATTATGAAAAGATCTGATCAAGTGCCTGAGCAGAAAGGACCAAGCACTAGGGATCATGTCTGAATTTGGGTGGCTTTGTTAAACTACACACACACACACGCACGCACGCACACAATAGAGCACGGGTGTCAAATTTGATTGCGTCACATGATGTATTGTGATGTTTTGTGACTTTTTTACCTTTGCGGAGCCGGGGCATTCATGGCCTGCGCATGACGCATCCAGTCCACAGGCCACCAGTTTGACACCTGTGCAATAGAGGAGACATTTCTTAGACAATGGTATAGTTACCACTATAGTGCATGTTTAGGAAAAGTCCACTCTCTCTCTCCCATACCCGAGTTTTGAGAGATAATCACCACCAGTTCCTTTGTCAGGACAGAGAAGCAACCAATGTGACTACTGTCCCACTGACTTCTGGTTTATGAGTGCTCAATGGCAAATCCAGCCCCACATTCTCCTGAAGCCTGTAACCATCACTTCTTGGAATTTATTTAGAGACAACTCTTTCATTATCTTGTGCTTTGCCCTTTCTTCTCCCCTTTCTTTCTTCCTTCTGCAGACAAATTCACCTGACTTTTCCAAGGGTGTCTTTTACAAGCATATACAGCCTTCAAGAACTCCTTGTGAAACTGGGGATGTCTAATCTGCTCGGAAAAGAAGCCAGTTTCAGATTGCTAAGCAGTAGTAATGTGACCAATGTAAAGGTATGCAGTCATTTGTAAGCATATAAGTCTATTGGTTGGACCATGTATTCAGTATCCAAGAATGGATGATAGAGATCAGGGATGGGGAACCATGGCCTTTTTATGATTGGTGGATTTCAACTCCCAGAATTCCTGAGCTAGCATGGCTCATGATGAAATTCTGGGAGTTGAAGTCCACAAGTCATAAAAGGGCCATGGTTCCCCACCCTTGATATATACATCAGGGCTTTTCAACCAGTGGTACGGGTACCACCTGTAGTACATTGGCACCTGGCAGGTGGTACGCGACCATCCTAGAAAAGGGGTAGTGGGGGAGGGGAATGAGCTGAACCGGTGGCAGCACCACACAAGCCTGAGCGAGAGATGGCTGGAGCTGCAGGGCTGTCAGGGCTCAGCGGAAGCGCCAGGATCAGCGACAGGCTCCATCTGGAGCTCGGCGCTGATCCTGGTGCTTCTGCTGAGCCCAGAAGAAGTGTCGATCAGCTGGAATGTTGCAGCATCCCCAGGGTCTTGTGATTTACATTCAGATACTTGGCAACTGATTCATATTTATGATGGTCACAGTGTCCCAGAGTCATGTGAAGTGACCAAAACCTGCTGCAACCACCCAGCAGACGGGGGAAATAAAAACCAAACACCCCCACCCCACCCCCGCTGCCAATCCCCAACAGAAATGCTCACAACAATGAAAACCTCGGACAGGAGGAAGAGCGCCGCTGGGTGGCAGGCAGGTGTCTTGCTCGGCTGTGGCTTGGGGGGCACTTTTTTCAGTGCCATTGTAACTTCGAAGAATCACTAAGCGAACTGTTGTAAGTCGAGGACTACCTGTACTTTATCACTTTTTTCCCTTTTTTGGGGGGGGGGGTCATCAAGTTTTTGACACCTTGCTAGGTGACTGGTGGTACTTGGATATTGCCATATCCTAAAAGTGGTACAATGGGTGAAAAAGTTGAAAAGCCCTGATATAGATGATATGGATGGATGGATGTAGATAGATAGATAGACAGACAGACAGACAGACAGACAGACAGACAGATAAATAGATAGATAGATTTTGGACAGTATTGGCACAACGATATAAGCCTTCTATAAGAATTATATGACTTTTTAAAATCCAAGTTTCTAAATCTCTTTATTAGCACTTTTAAAATATCTTTTTATTTATTGGGCTTTTTTCATTTATAATCTTAGCACTGCGGCCTACTGACTCAGATTTACTGTCTTTGTTTTTGCTTGCAGATCATAAATCAGCAACTTTTTGAGCTCAGCCCCAGTGAAGATCAAGTAGAAGCTCACACAGAAGAACATGCTGGCGAGACACTTAAAATAACATTGAACAAGCCATTTCATTTTGCAGTGTGTGAAAAAGAATCGGATGTATTGATTTATTTTGGCCAAATAACAAATCCCCTACAAGAAACATAAATTCTGGATGGGGAAAAATAGTTTTCTTTAATCCTTTAATCTTTTTCCTGTAGTACTTAGTTTTTATGTTGTTGTTTTTTGTCTTGTTTTGAAAACTAATGCATCTTTCTAAAATAAACTTGACAAATTTATTAATAGATCTTTCTAAAAAAATACTGCTGTTCACATTGTGATTAATAAAGTGCTCACATCTCATAAGACTATTATAAGATAAAGTAGATCATTTTCCATTTACTGAGAGATTCCAATGTGTGCTGGGTTTAAGCCATATGTATAAATTTTAATCCATGGTTTATGGTTTAGCAAACCTAACTATTTTGGCTTATTCAACAATGTATGTCGATCTAATATTCCCTGTGAAAGAATTCAGCCACTCAAAAATGTGGGAAATAATATATCCAGAACAGAGAACTTAGTAACCTGTTTCCACGTTCAATTTAAAGATATTTAGCCATGTCTATGTTTAATTATCACACAATTAACTTTAGCTAAATTAGTATGATGTTACAGTTAAACTCTATTCAAGTTACAAGAGTTACTTCATGAAAACTGCACACACAGATCATATTTGCATGATATTATTGAGAAATTTCCCAGCGAACTCACTCAACTTTTTGGGCTAATAGTATATGGCCTATCTTGGTCAGTAATCCCTCTGCTTGCATTTTCTAGGCCTTTCCATGCTTAGATTCGTGGGACTGGGTTTAACAATTTGCATGAAACATTACCCACCCATGACCAAATTTAGTGTGAAGAAGGCCATGGAGTGAGATATTTGTTATATGCCAGGAGGAACAAGGTTGAATAGCTTTCCAAAGCCAGAACAACTTGTGATGGTGCAATTGAAAAAAATAAAAAAAATAAAAGCTTAATCTGCAAGGTGATTTAATACACCTACTTTGTGTCTAAAAATCATTAACTCCCACCCCACAAGTATGGAGAAAAATTCCCATCATTAAAAATAATGCAGGCCTCGAACTGAATTGTTTGATCAATACATTGCAGTGAAATCCCTGAATATCTGGTCATATTCTCTGAGACATACATTGACTGGAAAAAAAAGTTGTGGTCGGGTGCACTTGCTGGTCATAAGATTTCAGGATTGCTGGATCCACTATCTAGAGCAGAGGTCCCCAACCTTTTGGCCACTAGGGACCGGTTCTGTGGAAAGGTTTTTCCACGCACTGGAGGGTGCGTGGTTTTGTATTCTGCCTGCATCCCGCAGATGGGGTTTTGCTTGTTTGTGTGGACCGGTTGCTGGCATGCCGCGGCCTGGTACCGGTCCACAGACCAGGGGTTGGAGACTTCTGATCTAGAGCATGGTGCCAAACACAAGCATTTACAACTAAAGTTTTTATAAACTTGTCTTTACATTTATTCCAAGGGCCAGAACTTTCACGCCAAAATTAATATGTTTGCTTCATGGTTCTTCCCTCCTTTTCACCTTGGCATTATAATTCATACTCTGTATGCATACCTTTGAAACAGGATCCAAACTGGATATTAAACATGTCTTGCTCTGTGCTCCATCCTAGTAATAGAGATGAAGAATCTCCCCCCCACTTTTTGGGGGGAATCAGGAAAACATTTGTTTGATTTGCATGCCAGTAGTAGGCAAAAACTAATTTAATGCAAGGCCACCTCTCTCTCCTTTGTTGTCCAGCACTCTGATTCAAAGGTTTTTTTTAGTATCAACTAATAGTGTAAGAACCGCTGTGATTCTAGGATATTTTATCTCCTGAAGTCATAACAATATGCATTCCTTCAAATTCAGAACTTCTTCCTGTCAAGACTCACCTATGTTTTCAAATTAGGTACTGGCCACACCATGGCAGCCAGGAGCCATAATTGAGCCTCCCAACCTTCCAGGGATCATACTGTGTTGTAGTGACCTCAAGGAGGGTTAAAAAAAAAAAAGTGTTTCAGAGTTTCAGTAACGGAAATAAGGATTTTGATGGAAATAGGAATTCCACATCCCTGAGAAGTAAAGAGTTGCCATAACCACTCAAAAATGCCTACCAAGCCTGTAAAAGCACTCCTCAATTAGCCTTGAATTCTGAGATGATTGACTAAACCTCTACCAAATAAATACTACAGCTCTATCTCTATTGTTCACTTATTGTATGCCAACAAACGAAAAATAGCAGGTAATCTGAAAACAACACCTTCAAGGAAAAGACACTTGGAGAAATTTTTCATCACAGGATATGGGAAACATTTTGAATCGGAATAAAAGATGCCACCCCTTGAGAAAAAGCTTCAAAATAGTTTTCCTTTAAAAAAATCCAATAATAGTTCTTTATAAACTCTAAGTAATATAATACAAACTATCCTTGGATGTCACAACATTACTACTCTTACACTTTTTGTTACTATTTTTATCACAAAATAATAAAAACACACGACATATGAACATAATTAACGCCACTTTTTATTCTAACAAAATTTACAAAAAGACAAAAATCCTTTTGTTCATTTTAATCATATTAAATTCACTTTTCTGCATGATAATAATTTACAATAAAAATAAAAATATTTTCCATAATCCTATGGCAGAATACGTAGAATATATATAAACTGCCTTCCATATAACGGAAAACCAAAATAAATGTTCTCCCCTGTATGTTTCTTTATTTTAATGAAATGAGTTTTTTTATTTTATTTTGAGACACATTTAAACTTGCTGCTGGAGCTGCATTAGGAAGCACTTTTTTTTGCTACACGGCATTTGGCAAAGGAAAGTAAAAATAAAAAATAAACTCTCTTTTTCTTTTTGGGAAGCTAGGTCTCTTCATTAAAAAGCTGGAGATTGTGTTATGTTTGTTCGGTGGCTATCTGATCTCTAGCAGCTTGAACAAGCTCCGAAAGAGTGGAAAAACTTGTAATGTTGCTCAGCTGCATCCCCATCTTCTCCATCTAAAACAAAATATCAGATTTACTAATTATTGCATTGTAAGCAACACCAGAAATATTTCAAAAATAATATAATCAGAAGATCTACAATATGAACATTGAATTTCAAGAAATTACACACACACCCTCCAACCCCCCCCCCCCCCCATGCTGTGAAATATATTGGAGCAATAGAGAGTGACCAGCCTAAAGTATATCAAAAGCAAGAGAGAATGGCTGGCCAAACGATTGGAATTGTGGGTTGTGTGGTCAAACTTGAACACATTAACAGCTGCAGCTGTGCAAAAACAACAACAACAACAACCCTTAACTGTTGTTGGCATCTAAGTTACCTGCATTCCAAAATGTTCCACATCTAAAGCTAACTGTAAGCGAATTTTGTTATCATCACTCATGCCTCCAGAAGGGGAGGGAAGATTTGCAGTTACAGTTTTTCTGGCTTGTTTTAGCCTTTTCAAACTCTCTTCCATTTTCTTTACAGAATTTAGAATATCTGATACTGTATCCAAGTACCTACATAAAAAGGAATAGATTAGATTATGAACACTTGTGGACAGAACTTCATTTACAGGGGGGGGGAAGAAAGGAATTTTACTATGTATATACTGTACCTACTAGTTATATTGTGCCTAAAAGATGGAGAAGAATATAAATAAATATAGAGAAATGAAAATACACGCTTTCTCTCCTGTTTACTTCAATAGCAATTGAAAATTGCTGATTTTAGCCTGGAACATGCCCTATTTTAATTTTACTTTAGCTTTTATCTATACAATATGTTGGCTCTTAAAGCCTAGAATATCACCACAAAATTCTGGTCCCTAGTATAAAGGAGACAATAGCAACAAAATACTCCTATCGTACTTCAACGTTAAATAATTTCAAAAGACACACAGGCTTAGGTCTCAGAAACAAATTGTAATATAAGAAATATATGAAATAACTACAACTACAACAACAACAACTTTATTGTCACTTTGAATGTACACCAATCGGCATACATCAAAATGAAATTTTGTTGCCTACAGCTCTCAAAGGGTCACCACCTCTGATATACGTTCCTTGTTCGTGGCCAGCTCAACTTTCAGAATGTCCATTTTAGTCCCCAGGGAGCGAACGATGGCAAACAGGACAGATGGAAATGGAGCTCCATGTGGATTAGCCCTCAAATTAGCTTGTATTCCTGCACAACAACCTCGCCTCTTTTTGTTTTTTCTGATCCTGTCTCTTCCATCTTTTCCTTAAAGAGGCCTCACTCCTTTTCGCCCCTGGAGCACGCTGCCGCCTCCTTCAGCTTCTCCAAAAGCCTCTCTCCCTTCCTCTGGGCCTGATGCCGACAGCCTCATCCAGTTCCTTTGCTCCATAAACCCTGGGACCTCTCCTCCTCTGCCTCCTTTGGAAATAGCCCTGATTTGCAATAGAATCCGTTGCTGTGCCAGCAGGCAGATCTTGCTGCTGGCAGAACAATTTCAAACAGTGCAAACGACTTTTAACGGTCTCACCAACAGTTCCGAAACAGCTAAAAACTCACCATACCAGCAAAGATTGTCGGTCGTATGTTACTTTAGTCCAGTGTTTCTCAACCTTGACAATTTTAAAGCATGTGGACTTCAACTCCCAGAATTCCACAGCCAGCATTGCTGGCTGTGGAATTCTGGGAGTTGAAGTCCACATGCCTTAAAATTGTCAAGATTGAGAAACACTGCCTTAGTCCCACCACGTTGCTCAAACACATTAAAACCTTCCCGATCATATGGTCTATATCCCTTATATCCCTCCAAAAACGTTTCATCTTCGAGAGCCAATGCAGCCACAGCCGATCCAAGCGCCGCCATCTTAGAACTCAATAAGGGGACACAGGAAGCTCCTTACGCAAGACAGTCCATTGGTCCACCAAAGTAATTATTGTCTATGCTTCCTTATTCCAAAATACGTCTTCCACAGGCCCACCACCAGATTCCAAGATATGAACCTAGACTTTTTTTTAAAACATATTGTGCTGTACTTAATTTAAATTTAATTTAGATTAAATACAGCAGAAAATGTTTTGTATTATTGAGATTTCAAAATCCCAAATCAAAATTCCC